GGAGAACCACAATGCAGAAGGACGGGTCCTATAATAGCTACATTTTTTCATGCTAACCCCACAGAAAGATGGAGAAGTCTTTCTGAAGACTGGGAAAAAAAACAGGAAGTCTTTCTGAAGTTTTATCTACCCAGATGAACATTTTTAAAACATCCTTTTACTCCACAGCCCTGCAGATCTGAGGGCTCTTCTTAACGTACAGGTTTACCACGAGCTACAGCCTCACAGAGGGTGAAGGTCAGAGATTCATGAGGACAGTTAGAGCTGGGTGGCACCACCTGAGCCCCAGCTCTTGCTGCTTCATCGGGGCAGCAGTGAGACCCTGAAGAGCTGGGACCAGCCTCCCTGCTCACCAGGCCAGGCATGGCCCATCCTACAGCCCGGCAGTGACACCGATTGATGAATTACATCCACTATTGATCTCGCAATCAGACACCAGCCATGTGTCAGCTTCCTCTGCCCACAGCTCCAGCCCTGCCTCCAGCCCAGATTTCCCGGTCCATTACCATACTGGTTTTGCCACAAACAAGGCCTTGTGGTCAGGACAAGATGTTTCTCATTTCGCATAAGGAGCAGTGGGAACTAGATGTGCTTTTCATTAGCTTACTGAGGCATCTTTGGTTTCCCCAGTAACTCTGCTGGAGGATAACCAAATGAACAGCCCACAGGACATGAAGTGCTGAGGCCAGCTCTCCTCCTAGACCCCTTGTCTCCACTCTGCCTGAGCCTGGCACTAGGTGATGGGAAGGGGGCTGGGGAGGAAGGCCAGCTGGGAAGAAGTCCCCTCCCAGCCTGGAACCAGGCATTCCTAACGTTATGGATCACTCGCTCCAAGGCAAATTCATTTCAAGAGATGTGAAATCCAGCCAAAGCCAGATCTGCAATGGAAACTGCTGCCAGCACACAGGAGCTGTTCCCATGAGAGCTTCTGCCTGTTCCATCAAGGGGCAGGAAGAGCCCAATTCCCATCTCCCCAAGCCTGGGCACTGGGGCTAGGGAGCACTTTGCTGCAGATCTGTGTAACGCGGCTGCTGTGCCAGGGCAGGTTGATGTTGGCAAGAGCGCCGCGCTGAGCCGCACCCCTGTGCCAGCTCATGCCGTACTTCGTTATGAATCACGGCCAGCTAATGTCCTAACGAGGGCAGCTCAAGAAAACCCATGTTTAGGCCACCGAGTGGCTGGACAGCAGGTTGGCCTTATCAGATCAGCCCAGCCGTGAGGAAAGCGGTGGCAGACAGCCACGGTGATTAGCAGTACTGTGGAACGCACCAGGTTTGGCTATCAGAAAACCCTATTTAAATCAGGACAGACAGTGTTTACAAGCCAGAGGATATAACAAGGAAATTAGTGACTCATAAGTGTAAATAAGATTAGATGGGAGCGTTCCCTGAACTCAAGTCTTCATCATCCTCTTGAGCAAGGACAGGGAAGTTCCTGGAAGTCACGGGAACTTCTCAAACTGTACAGGAAACTTTTCTTGTGACAGTGAGCCTCGTTTTACAAATTCATCTGCCAGAGTGCTGCTGGGCATCTCCATAGGTACCCTCCAAGTTTCAAGAGACATTCTCCTAGGAAGCAGGATCCTCCTGGGAGCTGGGGCATGGGCAGCCCAGGAAGAGTTAACACTGGAGTGCCGTGCTCCATGGGCAGGTCTGGAGCAGGCACATTCCTCACATGCACACCTGGGAGAGGGCACACAGGCACTTTCACCGACTTGAAAGCAAGGGCTGTGGGCTTCCCAAGTGCCACACAAAGAGCTCCCTGGAGAACTGCTTAAAAAGTGCAGCCCTTCCCAAGGGGATTCATTCCTCTCTACAGCCCCACTACCAGGTGAAGAGGCACCATGGAAGGTGGCTGGCAGGCTGAAGCCAAGAGGAAAAAGCCAGGAGACTGGTGCAGGACAACAGTCAGCCCTTGCCAAGTCATCTCTGGCCACATTCAGCTTAACGCTTTCTGCGACTGCAAGCTGGAGAAGGGCACTGAGACTGCTCGGAGCCTGCTTTCTACCACCTGTTATCCCAGCATGGAGCCGGGCCAGAGACTTGCTGGGAAAGTTGGATTGGGTGGCTGCACAGCCCCACCTCGCCCTGGCAGCTGAAGTCAAGCCCTACTATTAATATACTCTCCTCTCTAGGAGAGGTCTGTACAGAAATCAACCTTTTCTGCAGGAGTCTAGTTCCAGGATTTCTGCCTCATGTTAAGCAGCTTTTATACCCAGTAAAGCACCAAGAGGGATTAACCAACATGCTGGGGAGCAGAAGGTTTTTCCTGCCTGCCAGTGGCAAAAAATACGTTTATTCCCTGCCAGACAATCAGCACGTCAGGCACGTGAACTATGAGCGTCATTCCTGGAAAAGCCAGGCACAGAGGTCTCATGGTTGAGCCCGAGAGAGGCTGCACTACTGGGTGAAGCCAGACACTGTTTGCTGAGTCTGGGCACAGGAATGACACCCTTGGCACCCCAGACAGGGACTTGCAGCCCTGCTGTGCTCCTGCCGCGGCCCACCCCACTCCATTTTGTGCTCCTCAGGCCTTCACTTACAACCCCAGCATACCACTAGCCTCTTCTCAAAGCAAGAACATCTATTTATTGGGGCAGCAAGAAAAGTTTCTGTCCAATGTGTGAATTTCTCCAGCCGCTGGCTAGTTCTGGGAAATAACAAACTCGGGCAGCTCGCCTGCCCCAGCCCACACATCCTCACCCCAGCCTTTGCAAACCCCTTCAAAAAAACCCAAATGATGTTTTGGGGCAGAGACAAAGTCTTCCAGACATGGAACTGGCTTTTATGGTTGGCTATACTGTCTCTGATCAAACACACCAGAGTTCATTAAAAGCTTCTTTGAAGGGTCACAGCCAGCAAGTTGCAAAGGGAGTCAGACCTGCAGAGACTCGGGCACCCAAAGCGCAGCAAGCTCTTTATCAAGTTTATAACTTTGGCGTGGAGACCCAGTGCTCGCTCCTGCCTCCCTCCCTCCCCAGCACTGTGTACACAAGTCTGGGAGTAAACAAGAGCAAGGTGAAAGTCAGCCCTTCCCAGACAAAAGCACATGGAGCTGGGCCAGCCTGGGAGGTGGCAGAAGAGGGGACAGAGGTGCAGACCTGGTAACTCTTTGAAGTCTGCAGGGACAGATAAATGCAAGTGGCTCCTGAGGCTTTTGTCAGGGGCTCTGTAGGAGGGGGCAGACAGTTGTATGGATCACCTCGTGAGCAGTATTACACAAAACATCTTTCCCAGACCTGTGCTGCCACAGGCAGATGTCACCTCACAGCATTACAATGCACATCTTGACCAGCTTAACAAGAAAGGGCTCCTGGACAACAACAGCAGCTGCCCACATGGCCCAGCCTGGAGCCTGGTTATCAAGAGACAATTCTCTTGTCCTGCATCATGAACCAAAGAGCACAGAATCCACTGGGGCCTTCCCAGTGCAAGGATGCAAAGCTCTGTAAACCACCAAGCCCAAGAGAGGGGATTTCCATACAGTTCACTTCCACCCAGCTCTTTGCAAAAGCACACAAACCAGGAAGGATTAAAAGCTCATGCAAAGCGTGCGAAGGAGCAGGGGCAGGAGCTGAGCTCACCCCCTCGAAGCACACCAGCCCCCCGTAAGCAGGAAAGCATTGGAGCCACACAGTGCTGGAAATGGAGCGGCTCAGATCAGCAGGAGTCAGTCAGAGCTGACCTCCAAGGGAGGGAGGCACACAGCAAGGTAACGGCACAGACAGCTCTGTCTGCCCATCTTAATAGCCACTGAAAGTCAAGTTATTAGAAGCAACATGAGCTTCTGGCAGAGGCAGCTCCTGCCTGACTAGTAAGGGAAGGGTCTATATTTCCCCCTAAACTGCCCTTTACTCCCTCCCTCCATGCTCCAGATCTTTGTAGGGGGGAAAAATAAAATTTAAAAAAACCCTAAAAGTCACTTTTGTCCTGAGAGGAAAGCAAGTATCAGTATTTCAGGTTAGACCACACCTAACTCCTTCAACAGTCAGCTGCAGTAAAAAATCCACTTGTGCTAACTCCTTGTGCCCATGCTTGCAGGTACCATTTTATTTTACCCCTCTCTCAT